TGGTAGTGGGAGCGGGGAGGAAACATTTAGGAACTAGAGGAAAGTTGTATTTTTTATCGTTGTTACATCGAGACTGCCAACTCTTTACGGGTGTAGGAAACCCCAGCTTTCTCCCATGGAGTGGCTGGTAGTTTCAAACAGTTGGCCTTGCGGTGGTTCGCAGCCTACGTGCACCCAGGACACCATCAGGGTTCCTTCAGCACCTTCAGAGCAGTGATTACTAACATGAGCTCCCTCAGGATCACCCCCAGAGCTTTGGAGCTTGTCTCCAGGAGATTCTGAAGCAGATGAGAAAAACAGCCCTGGACCATGAGGTTGCTCAGTTAAAGTTGTTCAAAGAAGGGCTCCCAAGGAGAGAAGAAATTCTGTCAGGCAGGGCTTCCCCAAGGGTGGAAAGCAGAGATAAGACACAAGAAAGAGAGGGAGGGAGGGAGGGAGAGAGGAAGGAGACACAATCAGCCTCCACACTCAGCAGGATTTTCACCCGCCCACCCCGGCAGAGGCTGGGAGCGGGCTCAGGACAAGGAAAGGACCAAACAGACCAGAGAGCACGGCAAGAGCAAACGTTCCCAGGGGCAGGCTGGGCCGGCGCCTGCCGGGCTCCTGCTTTCCCAGCAGGCTGGCTACTGGAAGATCGAGGGTGGGAGAAGCCAGAGGAAACCCGTTCGGGAAGGAGGCTGAGGTGGGAGAAGAGCCAGGCCCAGCGTGTGAGGAGGGGGGACCCGGAGGGGCTCAGGAATGACAGGAAAGGACGAGTAGGACTTGGAGCTGCCTAGGAGGGGAGAGACGGGGTCAAAGGTAACCTCAGGGAGCTGGATGCTTGGATAAAGCCAAAAAGAGCCCCAAAACACCCCGCCTCCCTGCCAGGGAGCCCATTACGACTCACAGCAACCCCAGAAGCTGCCCCATGTTTCTGAGGTTGTCACTAGGAAGTCTCGTCTGTCTCCCCAGGAGCTGCTGGTGGCTTTGAACTGCTAGGCAGGTGGAATGCAACTCGCAGAGGAAAGCCAGAAGACGGAGCATGGGAGGGCCGGGGGGCACGGTGCTGACCTTCTCAGGCCCAGGAAGATGCCTCCAAGTTCAGAGTGAGGGTGCGCTTTGAGTGGGGTGTGCGAGGGATTAGAGTGGGGCATGTGCATGGTTTGGGGGTGGGCTGTGCAGGGCTTCAGGGGTGGGATCGAGCCCTGGCAGAGGGCCCCTCCCCAGCCAGGCGGACTCACCGCTTTATTCTCGTACAGCATGAGGCCATAGTTGTGGGGCACGAGGCTGAAGCGGTTTCTCCACTTCTTATTGTCCTCCTGGTACTGGAAGAGGTTCCCAGAGAAGATGACACGCTCGTCCAGCGGTACCTGGGGGGAAACGGGAGTGACGTGTGAGACCTGGGGTTGCCCCACTGCCTGGCGAGGGGACAGAGTTCCCGAGAAAACGACTGCCCAGCCAGCAGCATCTGCTCGCTCACCCTGCCAGGCATCCTTCACCCAGCTTTTGCGCACCACCACCACCCCCCATCGCCCTGCCCTGAGGCAAGGTGGCCCCTCACCCATCTGGAAGGTGGGGACTGTGTGGCAAGACAGTGAAAGAAAGCTTCCCTGGGGTCCACGGTGACATCAGGACTTGAACCCAGGCCAGGCAGGACGATGTACCACCCAGCCAGGACCAGGGACCCCTCTCTGCCTCAGCGGCAGTCGGGTAAGGCTCTGTAGAAAGCCAGGGTGGGTCTGGGAGGCTTTCTGAGTGGCATCCAGAGCAGGCCATCTCCCCCCTCCACTGTGTGAGAGAGAGGGAAGGGCCCTCCTTCCAGTCAGGCATGCGCAGCCCCCGCCCCAGCCCCCCCAGCCCTTGGTCCCCGACCTGCTCCACAGCCAGGGACATGCATCTTCCCAGCCCTGTGGCCATGACAACGTGAACAGGAGGATCCCGATCGGGCTGGAGATGGAGAGGGCCTCTGGCTGGGGGTGTCGGAGTGGGATGCTCATCCCGGTGACCAGCGTGAGCTCCAGAAACACCCAGGTCTTCCCATCAGGATCTGCTCTGCTTCTGATTCAGGCTTGGTCTCCCCAGTCAGACACAGACGGTGCCCCCGCAGACCGGGCGGAGTCACTGCGAGGAGCCCAGGAGGCAGTGCTGCCTCGTCGGATGGGGCAGTTGCCTGGGCCTGTGGCCCCATATCCTGGCATCCTAGCTCTGTGGGTCCCTTACTGGGGAGCCCTTCCCAAGAGGATAATCACAGGGAAGCATCCTGAAGAGACGGGTCCCACAAAGGGCACGGGCTTGCCCCTGGGCACGAGGGAAGAGGGAGAGGCTAGGCACAGACGTGCCTCTCCGCAGGCTCTAAACGTTCTGCCATGACACAGTGCTTTTCACAGAAAAAAGTCCTCTGGGTTGGGCATTGGGCTGCCAGCCCCATGGTCTGTGGTTCAAACCCACCGGCTGCTCTTTGGGAGAAAGATGAGGCTCTCTGCTCCCATAAAGATTTACAGCCTCGGAAACCTTACACCGGGTCACCGTGAGGCAGAATCGATGGCATGAGTGTGGGCCGGGACTTGATGGCAGTGGGGTTGGGCGAATAATATTTTTAAAACTCACTCTGAGTCAGTTCTGACTCATAGCGATGTGCTAGGGCAGAGCAGAACTGCCCCTCTGGGTTTCTGAGACTGTAACTCTTTACGGGCATAGACAGCCTCATCTTTCT